AACTATGGGTTCTCCACCTTCACCAGTCATAGCGAGTATATTTATAGAAGCCTTTGAGAAGAAAGCTCTCGACAAATTAAATCTAAAACCAAAATTATGGAAACGCTACGTCGATGATACTTTTGTTATTTGGCCTCATGGTCAGGAATCCCTAGTAGATTTTCTTAGATATTTAAACTGTATACACCCTAACATACGCTTTACCATTGAAATAGAAACTAGTAACACCACCCATTCTTAGATATTCTTATCAATAGAAAATCAGACCTAACATTGGGTCATTGTATTTACAGAAACCTTCCGCACACACCTTAATGCATTGTCACATCACCATCCGGCCCAAAAATCATCGGTTATCAACTCTCTTGTTTACAGAGCCTGCTCATCTCTCTAATAATTTCCACATTAAAGATATTAAGCGTTCCATCTTAAAATACACGTCGCCACAACCTTCCAATAGCAATGAGGCCGAAAGCAATCTTACACTTGCCACTGTGATCCTTCCTTACATTCAAAACATCACTGGTCAAATATCAAAAGTTCTAAAGAAGTATAACGTCAAAACCAGATTTACCACTTGTCCAAAAATCTCTCAACATCTTCGGCCCGTCAAAGACAAAATTCCATTTGAACTGCCAGGAGTTTACAGCATGCCATGCATAAGCGACAAAGAATACATTCGAGAGACTGGACGAAAAATATCAACTAGGCTCAAAGAACATGAAATAGCTTTAAGATTATTCAAATAAACTCATCAGTAGTTGCCGAACACAATCACGAAACCGGGTATAAAATTTAATTCGATAAAACTAAAATTTTTGCATGTAATCAATTCTTCTACCAACGAAAAATCCGAGAGTCTATAGAAATCTATAAACAACCTTACAATTTTAACCGCGCCTCAGGTTTTATCTGTCACCAATATGGGAATCAGTCATGCCCCTCATTTAGTTCCACCCCCCTCAAACAAGCTCTGAAGAAGCCAACAAGAACAGAAACGTCAGCAAGTTCGACCGATGCAGGAGGAATCCAGAAGTTTTGTAAAAAGTATTACTGTAGCCTGTGGAAGTTTCTTTGAAAAATGAAACCATACTTAACTTCCGCTATGAAAAAGGAAAAGGGCCTGTAGTTCGAGGTTTCACTGTTGACTGTGCAAGATTAAAAAGATAAGACGAGGGTTTTAGCAATGGAACTGCACAAGTTTTATTCTTTGAGATATCAATATCCTATTTAGAAAAGAAGGGACTAATTTCTGCTAAATATAATAACGATTGGAAAAATATTATCCGTTGATTCACAGACCCTAAAACAAAGATGTATCATACTTACTCCGCACGGGCGAGATTCTCGGGAGCTCCACTATAGGCATCATTCCAACTTCATTTTTCTATGTTTTTTTTGGTATTATCGGATCTGGATTGAATTTAACTCTCATTCCCAATTGATAGTTTAGTTTTCTGTTTGTCTCTGCCGTCTAATTCACTCTTTATTTCCCTCGCATAATTAAAATTGATTTGGATTTCGGATTAACGTAGAGAGTTTTTTTCTCCTGTGATTGATGAAGGAGCAGGTTTCAGTTCACGTTTGAGTCTGACCCGTTTCCGAAGTTGCTTTGTTGAAAGTGATTACAATTCAGCAAAAGACAACGCCTGAAAATCATTTCATTTACCTTCAGAAGGGTGGGATTGTTGAAATGCCTAAATCGGATCGATGTGTTAGAATCGAAACACAAATTTTGTTTTTTAAATCTACATCTACAACTCCGCAGTGAACATCAAAAACGATATATGCAAAACACTTTCAAATTAGCAATCACTACCCCATTCTAAAAACATTTTAAGAATTTCGGATTTTATACTTATTCTTGTCATTTTTTTTATCTTCTTTCTGCTGTTGTGGTTCTAATGTAAAATTAATGGTATATCGTAATGGAATTTCATTTAGAAATCTTCTGGTTTCCTCCTGCTCCGATTGTCGACAATCATCGTATTGCCTTCTTCAGAGCTTAACTGAAACTGGCTCTGAAGAAGTCAAGAGGATGATTGACGAAACGTCAGCAAGTTCGATTTACCAAAAACGGACTCAGGAGGAGTTTAGAAATTTGTAAATAGTAGCCTGTGGAAGTTTTTTAGAAAAAGTAATGGAATTTTATTTATAATTTAACATTGATGATTCATAAGTCACTTATAAAATACTAGACTTCATTGCAAGTTCAGGTTAACTACCTCTACTAAAAATTCACTAAATACTTCACTTTATAATAAACTCAAATGAAAAGCAAAAAACCTAACCTACATCAAATTAAAAAATAGTGTCAAGACCACTGTGATAAAAAACTGTTTCTACACAGCTCCAGAATACATGGAGACACATCTGTTTGTTGAATACAGTGCAGCGAAACAGGGTCGATTCGCATTTGGAGGGAGAACGTCGGCACAAAAACTCGCAATCAGCGTTGGGAAACTTAAATTTGGTTTACAACAAAACGGGTTGAGATAATTCCACAGCAAAAGAAAATAAGTTAGAAAAACTATAAGTGGCTTTCGCCATACAACAAACACCCGACCTACCTTAAGAAAAGACCAGGCAAACGTCCGGTAAAGTGCGTTGATACAATACGGCGATACTACGGGCCACAGGTTCTCTCAATATGAAAAATATCTCAAATTACACAAGTTCTAGAAAAATAAGCACTATTGGGTAAGATGCCGGCCCACAACTAACTGCTTGTGGGGTGTTACCGGCTGTAGCTCAATACGATAATCGTTTAATCGTAGGGGCGCCCTCAATCAAATTATAATTCAACTCGCCGCCGTAAATAGGAACATAGAAACCGCTACATGTCATAAATTTGTTTCGCTACAACAGGATGGTGCCTGACAAAACCAGACCAAAATGTGCTAATACAGGGTGTTGAAAAAACAAAATGTATTTGTATTATTAATTAGTGTCAAACGATAATCTAGTGATATTTGATACACAATAATAAGCTGTAGTACCTTACTTTGTCTCAATTTTCAACTTTTCTATTAGTTCACTGGCGCAAATCCGTGTTGCGAATACCTTAATTTCGAAAAACTGAATAATACGAGTATAGTTAGCATTGAATATTTATATATAATCTAAAGTAAAAGTTATAGCAATAGCAATAATTATAACTGCTTATGTCGCTTTAATGAAGGTAGGTAAAGTCTGTTCATAGATATAACTTTATGGAGGGATGTTAAAAACTTCGGTTTCTATAAGTTTGAGGACATTGGAGTTAATACGGGGAAAACATTGTTACGACGAATGGCAGATTTCAGTTGGCGCAAAACATGTTCAATGGGATTAAATATACAGTGGTAAGGCCTTAAAACTGTATGCCCTAGATTTTTTGCATAATTATCACAGACGTATTCTTTTTGTAGGTTCAAGCTTTGTAGAACCTCAATTAATTGCTTTTTGGTATAATCTTCGTGAAAATAAATGTCGTTATTATATACATAGTTTTGGATTGTTGCTTTTGTGTCACATGAGGAAGGGGTTTTAGTGAACTGTCTACTGTGATAACTTGCATTGTCCATTACAATGACGCTATTAGGAGGAATGTTTGAAACTAGTTTGCTTTTAGTTTAGTCAACCCAACCCTTTTCCGGGGTATCATAAGTGTCGAACTAGGTTTCATCCAAGTAAATAATTGGCTTCTGTTGTTCTCTGTAAATACCAATTTTTTCTAGATATTCCAGTCGCCATTTCCAAAGTCTAAAAGATTCCATTAAAACTTGCCTTTAGTCAATTTTTTTAAAACTAAAATCCATATGTTGAATACACTTCGATAAGGTAGTTCTGCCACATTTAACACCGGTTTCATCTTTTTCAAGCCTCCTAATTAAGATATCTAATGTAGGCACGCTTTGTTCCTCGTATAACTGGTAAATTTTAGGCCGTATTATATCTTGATCACTTTCATCTACACTCTAGAGAATGTCAGCATCGCTTCTTTTTTTCCTCGATGAAATGGGATTATTCACAATTTTCCATACAGATGATGTTGGAATTTTCGTCAATGTGGCCGTTTCTTCTAAAGATGCTTGCTTGCTGGTACTACGTTCAATAAGAGTCAAATAAACATTATTTATAACCTCCTTAGTCTCAAATGTTTTCTACATTTGGGCGGGAGCATCTCCTGAGATACCTAGACTTGCACTTATTTTGCATAATTCGCACACGATTCAACACACGCTGTATTACACTCGAAATAAGAATGATTACTAATAAACTTAAACTAAGTAGTATACCAAACCAAAGAATATTAAACTCAGGTAGGTATAAAATTATTTTCTATTACGGACCACAGTTTTACCTGAATTTAATTTCCGAAACTTTAGGTAATAATCTTGTTGCATTGTATGTTAATGACCACCCTTGGATAATCCCATTCAAAAGCAATTGGCACTTTCTTATATCTATGAATAGAGCATACCTAAAATAACCCAATTCCTATTTCATACAATATTTTTCGTTACTTTTGGAAAATCATTTTACTTTGTTAGGTGGTAAGGTGCTCTTTGTTCTTCGGTTCATGTTATAATTAATCATCACTAAACGACATCGAAATGAAAATGTGAGTATCAACTCGTACTCAAATTTTGTTCCGTCTAACGGCTCCAGCACCATAGAGTATTTTAAAATAAAAATGTGACACAATCCAAAAAAAATTATTAACCTTAATATCTACAACCTCTATGAGTCTTCGATCTTACTAAATCGATCTACTCAAATGCATGTACGCAAATTTAAGCTGCAACTGTTTCTGATACTTCAGAAAATATAACACTAAACATTTCACTATTCTTCGACGTAATTTGATAAGTTTCATATTTTAATTTTTTTTATATAACTTATCGTGAGCTCCTGGTGTTAAATGATAAGCCGACACAAAATAGCACTACATAAAGCTGAATTAGATTCAAATTATATCGCATACAAAAATTAAGTAAAATTCATTAAACGCTTACCTTGAGCGAAACTGTAGCGACCAAACACATCCACCGCTAGAACGGCCAAGAGCAAAGGCCATTTTTCAACTCCCATGGCTGTCCAGTTCGCTACCCTTTATTTAGAACTAGTCGAGGTAAAACGCTGTCGTTCTCGCCGGGGTTGAACTGTATCATGTCCGTCCGATGTTTTATAACTGAGGCTTGTGTATTTGGGGTTAAAACAAAAACCGCTTCGACATTTTTATTTCGTTGCGGATAAAGTCACCTGGAACAAGGGAAACGACGCCGTTTATTTTCCCTCTATTGGGCTTGTTTGACCGCAAAATGCAATTGGCGATAAAAAATTCGTTTAAAGTGAGCCGATTTAATTGGTTTTGAAATCGCGCTGCCATTTAGTAGTTGACTTGACACCGTGCACTTTATTTACATCGAGATTCCAAGGTCTGGGGAACTTTTACATAATAATTTACAAGCCCCTGATTTTAATAGATATTCCAATTTTAAATAACATCCACCTATATTCAACAGTTTTCTTTATTTTGTTTTCATATGGGAATCGGAATACATCTTGTAGCTCCTTATAACTACTTCTACACTTATGCATAATGAAAACCCATACAAAGCAAACAGTGAACTTTATCTATCGAAATGGAATAGATACGGAAATCAATGCTTCCTCTAGTTAAGCCAATATAGGGCAAATTTTATTTGGAGTGAGAGTTGGCACACATTAATTAACTTTCCGGCAACTATAATAAAAGATCTTTATATAATTTCTCAGTTTTCCGCCTATTTGGGTTTTTTGGATAAGTCGTTTGTTAATGGGATATGATTTGGTTGTTTGCAGGGACTAAGAACGGAACGAATAATTTATAAGAACGAAAACGGAAACGAAAATGAAATTTTTATTTTCCGTTTATGATTGAAAACGAAATAAATAATTTCGGTTACCGGTTTTAACCGGTTTAATGACACAATATTTTTGTAACCTACTCCTAATAGACATATCGGGGACGCAATGGTCTTCTATTCACCTTTGAAGCTCTCACTTCTATTTCCCACTACTTTACCGAAGATTCACGAGTATCTATTCGCGCTCATCACGCGCTAAAGTGGGAGAACCGAAGGTAACGTGATCGCCAACCAATCGCTCGCACATGCAGGGTATTCCCATATTATTTTTTCCAGGGGATCATCCAATATTTTTTTACACAAGTTACATAGTCTGTATTGCTTATGTTGGTATATCTTAATCTTGTTAATTTGTTATTATGCATATATAAATGTAACATTTTAAAATAATAATATAATTTAAACTTATAAAAACATTTTTAAGCCCTTTAACAATTACAAATCATTCAGGAAACTTACAGCGACGTGTACAATCTTGTCATTAATAAACTTTTTTGAATCATTTCTGCAGGCTCATCACAACCGCCCTCGTCAAATTCATCAGCAACAACTAAAAAAAGGCCGTTAAATATCCAACCTACCTTAGGGGATGTCGGTTGAAAACAAAAAACCAATATTTCAGTTAACATTACTCCTGATTTGTTGAAAGACGCATCTACAGAACTGTTAAGGGCGTTGGCGATACGGGAATTTAAGGAAAGACACGGTTCCTCATAGATTTCAAAAATAATATTGGCTGTATTAAAAGAATATCAGCATAACAACAGACAATGGGGCAAATATGCTCAAAGCGGTAAGTTTGTTAGAAGACGAGCAACCCGATATTATTAGTGACGAAGAAGAAAATGAAGAACAACAAAAGAAAATGAAGAGAAAAAAAATGGAAGTATTGCATTTATTACGAAACTAAATGCTTGCATAGGTGACATTGCTACAAATTCCGGCTGCACATACTTTGCAGCTTTCCGTGGATGATGTGTTAAAGTTAAAAGGAGACTGTATTCCAGTGATAATAGGTAGAGCTAGAAAGGTGACTAATATATAAATGTTTTAACTATAATTAAAACAATGACTTAAGAAACCTACTATAGATTGTGCGACACGATGGCACAGCACACATGATATGTTGGAAAGACTCTTATTATTGAAAGATTTTTGTAGAAACATGACAGGAAGCATTGAAAAGCTATATTTAAGCGAAAATGATTGGTCAGATATACAAGACATCTGCAACGTTATAAATCCTACAAAAGAACAGCAATATTATTCCAAACAACGCATTTGTTAGCTGGAGATTTTTATTCTACTTCCCAAATTGACATAGCTAAAAGGTACATGTATGGAATGCTCTAAAAAATATAAATGAAGGCAACAATTTCTTTGAGCAGTCATCTCTAAACTCAACTTCAACAGAAGAAGATGAAATAGAGCAATTTTCAAAACAAAAAGAAAATATTTCTTTAAAATCTCAGCAGATATTCGATGGTTGTTAGATCGTTATTATGAAGAACCGCGCAAAAAGCGAGATACTTGTGTCTTAAAATATTGGGCAGTATTGGTTTGGTATTGGTTTACCTATGACACAAGTGAGTATTGAACGAGCATTTTCAGCGCTGAAATATATTTTAAATTGTCAAAGGTCGAATTTAAAAGAAAATTTGTTGGAAGGTGTCTGGATTCTTATATTAAACAGTTTCAATTAATTTTTATATAAATATATTCATATATACTAAAATTAATAACAATCCTGTGATTTAGTCCAGAATATATCTTTAGTATAATTAACTAAAATTTTTATTTATTTTTGGAAAGCGGAATTATTTATATATATATATATATATATATATATATATATATATATATATATATATATATATATATATATATATATATATATATATATATATATATATATATATATATATATATATATATATATATATATATATATATATATATATATATATATATATATATATATATATATATATATATATATATATATATATATATATATATATATATATATATATATATATAT